TTTTTGCGAACCAGTAACACTGGAGAGGAGAAAGGGCTAGTACTAGGCAAATGAGGCCACCAGAAAGTAGTTCTTTGATAATGGTATTCATGGCTTCTTTATGAATGTGAGGGTATCTCTATGGTCTAACAGAGATAGGGGAAAAATTTGGAAGGAGGGGAATATTGTGATCATGGGGTCGTTCAGGGGGATGACCTTCAGGTGTATCAAAAACTGAAGAAAATTGTTGAAGTAATTGATGGATTTGGGGATTTTGGTGTGTGGGTGTGAATGGAGTTGATGGTGGAATAGGGTCAAAAGACAATAAGTGCAGGGAAGCAATGGAATCTGTATGGAGTAAATGACATATTTGTTGAGGTGTGGAAGATTGGGTAGTGGAAGTAGAGTCCCCTATGATGGTGATGGAGGTTTCATGATAAGTGAAAGTCATGCATGAAACCAAAAAGTCAGAAATAATAGGACCCAAGGTGTGCAACCATTCAATGCCTAAAACGATATCAGAACCCTGAATAGGGAGGAGGTAAGCTAGAATAGTGAAAAAATGGTGTTGCACAAACAAAGAAACATTAGAGCATAAACTTGAACAAATAATATGAGCACCGTTGCCAACCATAACAGGAAAAGCAGGGGTTGGGGTGATGGGTAAACGTAAATGATGAGCAATGCGGGATTGCATAATATTATGGGAACTCCCTGTATTAATAAGAACCGTAACTAACAAGCCTTGAATAGAGCCTTGAAAACGAAGAGTTTGTGGAGAAAGTTGACTAGTGAGAGCCTGAGGAGAGAGTTGAAAATGTATAGCTGGAGAATCAGATGTGTCTAAAGTAGGTGAGTGATCTAAAGACATAGGATTGGAGGTCTCAGGCACGTCCATAATGGGTGGGTCTTCATTAGTTAGGAGAAGGAGGAATTTAGTATTTTTCATCACAATTATAACACAGGCCTTTCGTACGATGATCTTGCATCTGGGTAGGGGTAAGTTTCTTGACTGGAAGAGAGGTAGTAGGTGGCGGGTTGGAAGGCAAAATCGTAGGTGGGGACCGTGGTATGGGTTTAGGCTTAGAATCACGAATATTATCCTCTATCAATTTGGCGAGGCCAATGGCTTGATGGATGGAGTGAGGCCTATGGATTGCGAGTTCTCTTTTAATTTCTAGTAACAAACCTGAAAAGAAACAATTAAGGAGTGTAGATGGAGAGAGACCAAAAACTCTATTTGATAAGCGTTCAAAACGTAGTTGATATTCAGAAACAGTAGTGTATTAGCGAATTTTTAGCAACTCGGCTTCATGGTTCTCATAAGAAGATGGGCCAAAACGAAGCTCAAGAGGCCGAACAAAGGATTCCCAGTCAGTGAGTTGATGATTGTTGTGTAACCACTTGAACCAACTAAGGGCATCACCCTTCATATAAAACGCCACCATATGAAGACGTTGGTCTGGTGGAACCTAGTAGTAGGAAAAAAATTGATCTGCATGAAAGACCCAATCTAGTGGGTCTGACCCATCAAAGGAAAGGAGTAAGAGCTTTGGAGTACGAAGTTGAGTTGAGGGTGAAAAATGTGGAGACAGTGGAGGAAAAGGATGATGAAATAGTGGAGTAGTGAGGTGTGGAGGGGAGGGAAGGTGCATGGAACCGTCAGGTCCCACTGGAAAATTAGGAGGGGTATGATGGATGGTGCTAGGAGGAAATTATGAATTGGCATTGTGTGGGTGGATGTGGAGGGCGGTGAATTTGTCCATGATATTATTGAGGGTGCCAGTGATTGCCTCGAAATGAGCGTCTATGGATAATTGGAGCTGCTCGGTACGATTATCCTGTTGGGTTTGGAAAGTAGCAAACTTTTCAACCATGATTTGGATAGAATCCTCCAAATCCTTGGTTGATTTAGGGAGCATGATGAAAGCACCAATGATAGGTATCTAATTTTTTTTATCTCTACCTATCTATGACTAAGATTAATATGGAAAATAAAAATTACTTCATTCTTCCATTCTCAAAGAGATGACACTTCTTAAATACAAAAGGGAAATATAATAACGGCTAGTACAGTGCTTCCTAAAATAGTCGTTGGGAAATTAAGAACAAGCTAAGACATTATATTTCAAATTCATTCATCCAATGGGGCTTCTTAATCAAATGTTTGGGCCTTTCTTGAGTCTTTATCTGGTTGGGTTGATGTTCCTTGATGGGCTCCGATATATGAGGCTTATCAGTATTCTACTAGATCACATAAGAGATACACACTTTACTGAAAGGCATTTCATGTTCGCATTAAATGTATCAATAGTAATCTCGAGGATCAACAAAGAAGATAGACAAAGCAACTCGTAAAGAAAATTGAAATTTCAACTCAAAGTTAGCGTAATGGGCATCTTCTCTAAAGCTACTATAAAATGATCAAGTCTTCAAACAACAAAGTGGTGACAACATAAAAAGAAAAGGAGTGACACACATTGAACATAAGCGATCAAAGTAAATACACATCGAGAAATTTGTATAGAGAAGCATACAAAAAAAATAGAGAGTTGAAAAACTACAAAGAAACATTTCATTGTAAATCTTGTACATATTTCTTTATAGGTTACTTGTGCTTTCATTATTGATTACATCACGTTTAGAAGAGACAAAACAATTATGTAATTATTCATTACCTTTGTTGTAAGGGTTGAGCCTAGAAAGGCTTATTTGAAAGAATACTTGATGTTGAGCCTAAAGAGGCTTGTTTGAAAGAATACTTGGTGTTGAGCCTAGAGAGGCTTGCTTGAAAAAATACCTAGTGTTGAACTTGAAGAAGCTTGTTTGAAAGAAGACTTAGTATTGAGTCTGGAGAGGCTTGTTTGAAAGAATACTTGGTATTGAGTCTAAAGAGGCTTGTTTGAAAGAATACTTGAGGCTTATTGTTTAAAGAATACTTGGGTAGCTACTTGAAGAGGTAAGTTAAAGACTACTTAAAGTTGATCCAGAGTGACTTGGTAAAAGAATACTTGTAACTTTGTTGAAAGTTAGTGGAATTCAATATAACTCTTCTCCAATGTTTCGTCTAATAAGTTACTTTCATTTTACTGCACATACATGAGTTTTTGATACACACTATTCAATCCCCTTCTAGTGTGTGTCTTTTATCCATAACAACTTTAGAATGCTTGGGACTTTGGATGACTTTTCGCTCTATCATTTAAATTGTCAATCTTGAAGAATAATAAGTAAATAAATACTTTTAAAATTTATTATATATTAATGAATAAAAGACATGTCGTGCTTTTGTAAATTATTTTTAATAAATAATAAAAATTATATAATAGTATATGGTTATTAAAAATACAAATGGTTGTGAAGTGAAATTTACAGAAAAATAAAATATATATATATATATATATATATATATATATATATATATAATTTATATAAAAAAAAATGGTTATAAGGATAAAATTGTTTTAAAATATGGACACCAAATAAGACAATCTCTTTTATTAATACTAGTGATGTCGAGACACTTTGTACTTTTATATTCCGTTAAAAATATGTTTAAGAATTAATAGTGTTTGTTAAATGATGTTGTGTCTAGTCCTTGAATCTTTAGATCTTAGGTTTAAGTCTTAGGTTTATAAAAATAATTAATTAAATGATACTTGGTGTATTTTTTTTTTTTAATTTTGGAAGTCTGTGTAAAAATAAAAATAAAAAAAAACTACTCAAAGAAATATTACGATTCTCACACCTTTTCCATTAATTTAAAAAGAAAGAAATAACTAATAATAAAGAATTTATGTGAAGTTCATAAAATTACTAAGATATATTAATTTTATGAAACAAATATAAACAAAACTCTAATTTTTATTTCAAACAATAAAATTCATAATTTTAAATTTATAGCTTAAATATATTTTGATTTCCTATAATATACATGTTTTTTCTCTTTCAATCACTAAAAAAAATGTTTAACTTTCAGTTCCTGTATTTCTTTTTGTTTTTAGTACTTAACGTTACTTTTTTTCACCGTTTTACATATGTGTTCGTTACAAGAAAATTGTTTTAAAGTAAATTAAGTTATTTGATTTTTGACACATCATACACAAACAGTAAAAAGTAATGGCAAGAAAAAAAAAACAAAAAAAAAAATACAGAAACTGAAAGTTAAACAAAAATTTCTAAGTACCAAAAGTAAGAAATAAATATATTACGAAGACTAAAAAAATAAACTTAAATTTATCGTAAGTTTCTTAATGATTATTTTAATTTTTCTGTTAGCAACTTTTTATTTATTATATAGTATAGACATTTACTACGTATAAATAAAAATATTTATTCACATTTATCGTTTTATTTAATACAGAAAGTAAATATTTTAATTTTAACTTAAATTTTGATGAAATGTTATTTTTTACATTTTAATTTTCTTTATTATATCTCTTTTTTATTTAAGAGTATTTACGTCATTTTATAAATATACCTTTTTTTTTCTTATTTGCTTCTCTATCCTTTACTTTCTTAGTTAATAATTAAATAATCATTTCATTTTCAAATTTTTTCTTTTCAAATTTTTCTATCTTTCTTTTATAATTTTTTTTATTTTGTAAATTGTTGGTGAGAAATTTAGAGGATTAAATCATCTGATTCAATCAGTTGAACTTGAGTTAGAATCCCCACCCCTTCATGGTTAAACGTGATCTTTACTTTCTACAATAATACTTCCCGCTCCCTATTTATTCTGTCGTAGTTATTTTAGTTGTGCTACATCTTTAAACTAAGTGTTGTCTTTTTTTCTTCTTGTCATGGTTACTTATCTAGCTTTTGTCCAAAGAGATTTTTTTTAATTATATTATTAATATAAAATATTTATCAATTTTATTAATAATTAATTTTTGTCATAAAATTTGATTAATCAATTTTAGTAGAATCTCCCTTTTTAATTACATTTTTTTATACACAAAAGTCAAACTTAAAACTTTGTTTGAGAAATTGAATCTAATATTACTCATACTAATAAAATATGATAGAAACATAAAAGAGATAGTAATATTTGTTCTATTTATAATAGAATACAACACCCCTTTGGCAAGAGAAAATATCCATATACTTTGTTTAAAATGATCAATCTAGCAACCCAAATAAAGAGAGGGAGGAAAAAACAAAACAAGAAGATTGAGGAAAAGGCAAACACACATGACCTCATAAAAATATATTATCACAACTTAGGCCAGTTTCTTGCCATTAGTCATCATCCTCATAAACTCGTTCAAGTCTATAAAACCATCACCGTTTCCATCAACCCCCATCACCATTTTCTTACAAGCACTAAGGCTGCAATTCTCTCCTAGGCTTTTGAGAACATGGGACAATTCTTCTGCACTAATTTTCTCATCACCATTCAAGTCAAACACTTGAAAAGCACTCTTGATCTCCGTTTCCTTCACCCTCTCCTCCACGTTGAACATTTCCATGAACTCCTTGGAATCAACGAAACCATCTCCATCAGAGTCCATGACCTTGAAAGACTCAACAACCTCGGTGTCTCCAATTCCCCACCCCATTGTCCTCATAGCTTGCTTGTATTCTTCAAGGGAAATCTTGCCATCTTTGTTGGTGTCAAACTTGTCAAACACCCATTCCATTTCATCTGATTTTGGCTGAAAGTTGCACCCTAAATTTGATGCATTTGGTTTGAAGTTGTTGGTTTTCAGGGTTGGATCTTTGGTTTGAGAGGAGTGACTCAAAGAGGTGCCAGTGTGAAACTTAAGGAAACTCAAATTCGACATGGCCTATGTTTTGGGACTTAGATACTAGCTAAAGATATATATAAAACAAATGTTTGGCTTCAAGATTGATGCTACTAAGTTTATGGTTTGCATGTATGTATATAAACTATAAGGATTTTACTTTTGAGAGGAAAAGTGGTAGAGTCGGAATGCATACGTTCTCATTAACGCGTTAAGGTGGCTCCTTTTGGAAGAAAGTTTGGTGGAAAGCATTGAATGATGAAGGTTCACTAAACATAGTGGGGAGAAAAAGACGATTCATTGTGATTCAAGTGCATCTTTGTGGTTCAACTGCATCTTTGAGGTCGATTCTGTCCCTCCTTTCGGAAACCGCGTATTCACCACCATGTCCCACTTAGAAAGTTGAATCCTTATCTTATGACCTATGTTACAAACCGTGTATCAGGCTACATAAATGAATGCTTGGTCACTCATGATTCGACTTATTCAGTAACAGCTAGTGATTCAGTGAGGTCTCACAAGTTAAATGGGTAGGACTGCCAAAACCCCATATCCAACCCATCAAACCCCCTTCAAAAAAAAAAAAATAATGTTTCTAATAGTTTTAGAGGTGTGCCAAAAAAAACTAAATAAATAAGTTTAAATTTAAAATTGGACCACATTATTTAAAAAAATCATTATTAATTTATAAAAATTAAATCATATTCTTTAAATAAATAAATTTTAAAAATCAAATCGCATTGTTATTAAATTTCGTGTATAATTTTTTAAATAATAAAATAAAATAAAATCAAAATAATTTATTTATATCTCTCATATCTAATGTTTAGTGGTTTACAATATTTCAAAAATATTTGAGTATTACTTATTATCATTGTATTTCATTTTATGTTATTTTTATTATCTTTAGACTATTAAAATAAATATGAGTTATCAATTCGTGCTTCATATTTAATTTTTTACATGACAAATATAGTTCTTCAATGGTTTTGAGTTGACTTTTATGAGTTCATCTGTGTAAACTTTTTTATTTTTTTAAAAATATTTTTAATAAGATAAATAATTTGTATATTTTATAATATGTTTGTCTACTTAATTAGTCTCCTAGTTAAATGTTTAACTAGTACAGAAAATTTAATTTGTCGCTAAAGAGTGCAATAAAATTAGTTGTAAACCAATTCTGAACTTGTTTATAGCTGGTTTAAACAAAAATGCGGTATTAATGTGTATAATAAGCCTTAAAAAACTTTTTTTTTCTTAAAAAAGACTGATTTAAAACTAGTTTGATTGTTAAAGTAATTCAAAATTAGTTTGATTCTGAATCTGATTTTAAATCACTTTTAAATTTAATTATTAAAGTAATTTGGTTCTAAACTGATTTATTAATGATTCAAATAATTTATAATTCAGTTCAATTTGATAAAATGATGTAGTGTAATTTAATGTGATATTTAAAAAAAAATAAAAAAATAAACCCCATAGGTAGTTTTGAGTGACTTATAAAGTAAACTGATTAGAATTTCAGGTTTAGATTCATTTGAAATTGAACCGCTTGTAGTTATATAAATAAATAATAAAGGGAATATTCATGCACGCACATGTAAACACATATATATAATGTTGTGTCTTTTGTATCCTTATTTACTATGCTCATTGTTGAGACACTTTTTTTACTCTTACAAAATTAAAAACTTCTATTATTTCAAAACAAAACAAACAACATAACAAAAAAAATTAACGATAAGAGCTAAAAGGATTAAAAAAATTGTAAATATAGGGACTAAAAAAATTATTTTAAATTATAGGAACTAAAAAAAAGTTTATTTTAAACTGTAGCGATTAATAAGTAAAGTAAGTAAAACTATAGGGATTAAAAAAAATATTTTAACTTTTTTTTTTGTATAATGTGAATTTAATCAATCCAACCACTGAATTATATGATATTATATTCAAGATTATATATATCGAATTTAACATAATTTAAACTTTTTTATATGTTATAAAAAAAAAGATATTTACACATATTTTAAATATCATATTATATTTTTAAATAAATCAATGTAATGAACTACTAAATAATTTTGGTATCATGTGAAATTCGATATATATGATCTTGAGTATAATATCACATAATTTAACGGTTTGATCTATTAAATTTGACTTATATAAAAAAGTTATTAAAGATATAAGATTTGGTGTAAGAAATTTTAAAACTTACAACTGGGGTCAACGGATCTTGATTCTCTCTCTCTGTATGTATGTATATATGTATGTATGTATGTATGTATGTATGTATGTATATATATATGTATGTATGTATGTATGTATGTATGTGTGTGTGTATATATATATATATATATATATATATATACGAGGAGTGTTCCGTTTACACCGAGTAAATTTATCTAGATTTATTTCGTTCAATAATTCATATTCTACATCAAATTTCAATAATGACAATAATTCGTAACTCTCAGTGTTTATGACCATTATCTTGCTCATCCCACGGATCGTGGGATCTTATTG